CAAAACATCTCCCTGCTCTCCACAATGATCACTTACAGCGAACAGATGGTCAAAGTAAGGTACACATAAACAGAATCACACTAAGCCTGGTTAGTATTGCCTGACTTTATAAAATGTGTTTTTTAAAATAAGTGTGTGGTTGCTTTCTAGTCACTTTGGTCAGCGCTACTGTTTGTTACAACTTTTATTTGCCGTACTCGCCAATAAACTGTTGCTCTGGTTGATCCTGCCCCCGCCTCCGAGGTAAGCATGCGATTCTTGCGACCGAAAATGTTTTGGTGGTTCCAGGGCCGGTTCGGAGCTGGAGCTTGAAAAGCACCGGTTTTTGCTGTTCGCAGCGGAGCCGCCTCTAAGCTCCGGAATCCAGTTCGTTTCGAGCACCAAAAAGTTGTCGGCCTAGAAAGCAAGCACCGCATACGGCACGCTTACGTCGGATCTGGGCTGTGTCCAATTAACACGCAACATCCGCCTTTCCGCCAGCTTCTACATGATCTGTGGAAATAACATTGAGAATCAGTTTTAATGTTATACCATAGTAATTAATGCTGCAAAGCTGGGTATTTTGAGCTTGGCGCATGCAGAGGCTAACAACAGCTAACTCTAACGCCATCGAATAGGACTTATATTTACCTTCTTTCTCCTACGCAATCGTCGTTAAAGTTGATGATCATTGTAAAGAACTTTTGAATGTAGCATGTAACGACTGTAAAGTTGGTAGTAAAGTCGTCCCATTTCTTCCATTTAGTTTTGGCAGAGCAAAATGAGTAGCGCTTCAATACAATCGGCCATTGTTGTTGTTGTTGTTGTCGATGTGAGGGGTTCCGCGCGGTTTGGCTTTATGAAGCAGGCACGCAAACGGTTACGTCATGATGCAAACGATGACGCAATGACGCAGAACCAGTCGGGCTCTGAGCGGTGTGAACAGAGCGGGAGCTGAACCGAAGAACCGGTTCCGAACCAGAAAAGCTCTAGCATGGAGCTAGAACGGGAAAAGCCTTGGTGTGAAAGGGTAGAGGCGGCTCCGCTGCGGTGTGAACAGGAAAGAACAGTGCTTTTCAGGCTCTAGCTCCGAACCGGCCCTGGAACCGCGTTGGTGTGAAAGGGGTATTTGATACCCTGGCCCTGTGTCCTGTAGGTAGGGTCAGTAATCCATCCATGATGCACACAAACACACACCCACTGGCTGCATCTCACCCTGCTCCCCCTGCTCTCCCCCTCTGAGGTGCTGCCCCAGCTGGTGTGGGATGCTAAAGGCAGATTCCCCGGCCCGGACTTCCTGTGCCGGCTGGTGAAGTACCTGCAGGTCCTCGGGATGTTCGCCTCCTCCTACATGATCGTTGCCATGACGGTGGACCGGCACTACGCCATCTGCTGCCCTCTGCTGGCACACCGCAGCGGGGCCAAGCAGCGCTGGAACAGCTGCATCCTGCTGGCCTGGGGGCTGTCGCTGGTGCTCAGCCTGCCACAGGTAGGGAGGGGGGGAGACACAGGGAGGGGGGAGAGATACAGGGAGGGAGACACAGGTAAACTTTATACACTAAGGGTTTGATTATTTGTTTAAGTCTATTATTTATTTGCAGGGAAATATCACTGACTTAAGGAAGTCTTATACAAAATAAAATAAAATAATGAAAAATCTATCAATTATTTGTCACAAACAGTAAAATATTTGTATTTCCTTACGTGATATTTTATATCTGCAGTTTTTTTGGACCTTATTGTATTGATTTATGTCATGCTTTATGACTTTTATAATTGTGTGATTTATGAATGAGTTGCTTCAGCATTTTTGTCTTTTTCCTTCTCAATACTAATAATAATAGATTAAGCCCTTTGCTATTACTGAAAGGCACTTAAAAAAAACTTGTCATAAGAAGGGCACACTACTTCACTGAAGCTAATCAATTGAATCAAGTTTATATATTAATACAATTTAAATCCTAAAACATGAGATTAGGGAGTGTGCGCGAGAGAAACTCCCTCCCTAGGGACGTTTGGGATTTTAGCCTTTGCAGACCATTTACATGCACACAAACCTATATAGCACACTACAGGAAAGGGAAGTCTTAATTGAGCTTTTTAGAATCAGAATAAGATGTCCGCCCTCTCCTCTCTGCTCCTCCAGGTGTTCATCTTCTCCCGCTCTGAACAGTCTCCAGGAGAATACGATTGCTGGGGGAACTTTGCTGAGTCGTGGGGCCTCAAGGCCTACGTCACCTGGATGACTCTGGCGGTCTTCATCCTCCCCGTCCTCATCATCACCGTCTGCCAGGTAGAGAGGGGCGGGCCAGAGTTTGATTTACAGGGAGACACAAAACAACAGGGACCATCTTCTGTGATGGGATTTTAGATCTTGAATGTTGGACGGTTTTCTTTTTTGTATTACAGCCGATTTGTATTCCATATTGTATTCCATTTCATTGCATTGTAAATACTATACTATACTAATACTGTTATATTTGACTATATTTTGTATTATTCTTAATATGTGTATAGTTCTCTACCTGTGTTTTTAATTCTTGTTTTACTTTTATGTATGCACCATCAAGTCAAATTCCTCGTACGTGTAAACCTACCTGACCTGTTTTTGATTCTCAACTGTTCTTATTTCACAACATTTTCTTTCAGGTACGAATCTTCAAGGAAATCCATAACAACCTGTACCTGAAGTCGGACCGCCGCCTCTCCCCCTCCAGACGGGACAGCCAGAGAGGAGAAGGAGTCAGAAGGAGGTCAGATCTCCCCCTGTATGTTTCACCCCTCGTGTTCAAAAACCCCTTGAATGACAGCAGCTTTAGCCCCGCCCCCGTCTACCAGCCGCCCAACAACGTCAACTCACACAGCGACAACACCTGCACTGCTGACTATGGTGAGTTAGTTTTTTATTTCTGTTAATAAATCCTAATTCTGCAAGGTTATAATTATTATTTTATTTTGTATTTGAAATGTTAGAAATGATATTGTTAAAAGGTCACCCAACACAATTATTCTAAACATTATTACTATTACTATCATTATTCTATTGACATCACAATTAACACTACAGTAAACACATCTCTTCACACTCGCATATCCACCCTGATCATTATCCATCACACATCCTCTGTTTTATTTATTTGATTGATTTGTTTATGTTTCTTATGCTGGTGTTATGTATTGTGTATCTTGTTTTTATGTGTTTGTACGGCGACCTTGAGGACATTCAGGTGATAAGGTGGGGGGGG